TATTCGATTTGGATTCAGAATCGACAAAATTTTCAAAATTGAGGTATGACTATTCCTTTTGAAATACGGATTTYCAGGACACCAAGTGAAATCAAAACTTCCAATAACGCTTGATAACAGTGACACAATAGGACATTTGCACGATGGCGTCATTGACCTCTACTACCATACTGCCTTGCACGCTCTCTTTCGTTCAGTTGACGCGCACCAATTGTCTTACTATTCTCATGAGGGAATACAAATTTAAATAAGAAAGAAAATTCGCSAAGCATTGTGGTAGTAGGAGTCAAATGACGCCATCATGCAAACGTCCTATTAATGATGAGCTTTATATTTTTTATTCTAATGCCACAATATTTCAGATCAACTAGAAATGACAAGTGTGATGGSAGCAGATTGGAAGGTTTTACATTTGGTTTTCGTGGGCACGATTTSTTTGCTTATCAGTAACGTCTTCGCGTAAACACTTCAACAGCTGCTGTTACATATCAAGGTACGTCAAGAAACAAATCGATAACGGCCAAAAAACCTTCGGAATTGTACAAATTTAAATAAAAAAAGAAAATTCGCGAAGCATTATGATAGTGTGAGTCAAAAGACGCYATCATGCAAACGGCCTATTCGATTTTTCCCCCGTACTTCTTTATTCATTTGGGAAAACTAGCGATTGTTTGGTGGTGACCGCAGAAAAGCAAGAAACCGAGAGTGTGGTTTGGGAATGAGTTCATAGAGGGGGGCACAAAATTATTCCAAATCACAGCACTTTTGAAACAAAAACAAAAACAAAAACAAAAAAAAAGGAAAACAAGAAAGGGACATTTTTTTTACTTTGGCTTAGCAAGCGAATCCCCCAACCCCACCCCACCCCTCGGGCTCCCCGATAACAAATGAAAGGTAATCATTAATAACCCGCGAAGTTAGTAAACAAGTTAGTAAACAAGTTAGTACAGTCGGGATTTAAGTGATTTAACAAGAGAATGATTGTATTAGGGTTTATTTTATTTCTTTCATATATACTATATATGATTTATATATTATATTTTTTGTGTGTGTCTATTTGTCTTTGGAGAGAAGCGTTGGTCCATATACATAAGTAATCTACTGTCTGATGTGTTCGTTAAAAAAAAAAAACGATCAAAAATCTCTCCGTATTTCCTTTCCTTTCTTTTAGATCCTTCTTTTTTTCTATTTATTCCTTTTCGTTTTTCCATTTCATAATTCTCATTTTTCTTTTCTTTTCTTTCTTTTCATTACACATTTTCAGGTATCGAGCGCAATTCAAAAGTTCGACTGAGTTAACAGCRAACCGTTGCCCGCTGCAGCAGTTTTTCTAGTGGAATTAGAATCTTGTCCCACAAACAAATACACAGTATCTGTTTTAAAGAGTACTACAAGGACTACGAGGCAATTTTCTATCCTTTTCTCAGGGCCGTAAACTGTTGAAACAATTTATGATCRATTTTCCGTTACYAGAGTCTTTAATTCCGAGATATCCTGGATAAATTGTTGAGCTTGTGGGACATAGCAACGGTAACTAAGGGGAGTCGGAACCATGAATATCACCTCTGTCCACCCTTGATCCTCTAAGATGATGATGATGGTGATGATGATGATAGTGATGATGATGATGATGATGATGGTGATGACGATGAGGATGATGGTGACGATGAGGATGATGATCATTATTATTCGAAAGCAAACTGTGTCACATCACTGGCTTCCTTCAACTTCTTCTGTACATGCTGATAATAGCTTATACTGAAGGGAAGGAAGGYTATCCTCGATACCAACTTCTCCAGAGTATCTTTCGGCAGCTTCATCACTAGTGCTTTCTCATCGTAGTAAGTGTTCATTTTTTTCTTGTTACTCTGTAAAGCCTCCACCCATAAAGCCAGAGCGCCAGCGTTTTGGTTCAAACATTCACAAACAAACAGTTCAAAGCGAGTTTTATCGTCTAGAGCACCAACACTGTTGATCTTCTTAACTATGGCACCAGTAACTTCATTCGTACAAGTMCCTTTAACAACCTCCCACACACTATACCTTATTGCACTCAATAGAGTGAATTTCTTCTTGAGACCGTTACTAACAATATTGTGCAAAGCAGAACAAAGCTCGACACAAACTAGTCTCCGTAGATCAGGATATTTCTTGTCATTCAAGCACTCGGAAGCAGTAAGATCTCGATTTTTCTCCATATGGTAAAACAATTTTCGAATAGCGTCTTCAAGAATCCCAATCTCGGTATAATCCTGAGATGTAGTTGGCTGTTCATCATCAGGCTCGTACGAATCGTCTAAGGGTCTAAAGTGTTGACCACAGTGATTGATTGTTAGCGGATGGTAATTGCTTTCCCACGTCGAGGTACGGAAATCCTCCTCCTTTTCCTCCATAGAAGAAGGATTCTCATTGGCTGGGTATTCACTTGAAGCATCGCTACTGGTTAATTGTTCACTTGAAGGCTCGAGTGAAACCTCATCTTCTACTTGTTCGGATACTTTCATTCTTTGTACCACCCATTTTCGTTTGCTACGGTTATATAACACCTTGATATCCCCTGGAAGTTTGAATACTTCACAGTCATCGTACTYGGAACTCTCGTCGCTCTCTTCATCTATTTCCACATCATTCTCTACCACCCAGCGTCCTTCAACGTGTAAGAGATGATATGACGATAGGCAGATACCTTGAGGTGGGTGTTCAACGCCGACCTCTTCTTCATCGGCACATAGTCTAGAATACTGAAGCAGAATATTCTTCAAGTGGTAAGTAGACTTGACATCATAGTAGTCACACGAATGAAGGTGCTCTTYTCTTCCATTATCACACTCCGATTGACCAACGTCATTTCTGATAGAACCGTCAAACGAATCGATTCCCGAGTCACTGTGAAAATCTTTCTCAATGTCGAGATCAGCTTCTGGTTTTTCGTTAGAAGTGATACCTGAATACGAAACCATGTTTGTGTCTTCCAGCTGTCTTCCATCTTGTTGATCAGATATGCTTCCGGCGCAGGTCTGATCTGTAACAWTTGTCTTATCATCCTGATCACAAATATCTGACCGTCCTCCACTTGTTGGCCCATCCTTACTTTTAGATGACGTCACTTCCGGAACACTTTGCGCCTGCGGGGAATCTAAGTCAGCGGTATTGTTATGAGTCAAATTTTCTTGATCGCTTTCACATGGCAAACCATGTGTTGGATCGTTAACATTTGTTTTTTCAGAACTAAGTTCATCGCTTTTGTCGCTGTTTGTTAAACTATCTAGAGAATCGCGTGATGATTTTCGTCTAACTGCACCTTTCCTACTGATAGAACCGGTATGACTTAAATATCTCTCATTGTTACTTCCGGTTCTATGTGGTGTTACATCCGTCACGYTTCTTTGTCGTCTCGCCGCGACCTCATGATTATCATACGTCTCCTCGTCGTTAGATTTAGATAGAGCAGTAGTAAAATTCAGGCGGTCACGCGGACAATGCGTTACCTCCGTCAAGCTTCTTTGTCGCTTCACTATGATCTCGTTACTACCATACATAACTTTACCATTAGGTTTAGATGTATTAGAGGTAAAATCTAAGTTGTCGGGCGGGCAAAAGGGAGCATTCAATTGACCTGGTCCTTTCTTTTCTGGTGATGGAGGAAAAGTACAAGGCCGTATTTGGTGTTTGGCCTTAGTCTTTGACCTTGGCTCACTGCTAAAATGATCCTCATTCATATCGATACTAGATRTAAGGCTGGGTTCAAAAGGAGGAGCTCTAGAAGCGGGTACCCTTAGAGGATCGAGGATTTTTCTCATCTTGGGTTTGCAGCCATGGATTTCGATTTTCTTTAATACTTCTCTTTGCTTTCTTTCGCAGATCTTCGTTTTTAACTAAAAAGAATATATAACTTTATTACTAACCTTACTCCCCTGTGTCCTACAATGATACCAAACTTTACCAAACCTTATTCTCCTGTGTCCAACAATGATACCAAACTTTACAAACCCTTCTCTCCTGTGTCCAACAACAATACCAAACTTTACTAACCCTACTCTCCTGTGTCCAACAATGATACCAAACTTTACCAACCCTACTCCACTGTGTCCAACAATAATACCAAACTTTACAAACCCTACTTCCCTGTGTCCAACAACAATACCAAACTTTACCAACCCTACTCCACTGTGTCCAACAATAATACCAAACTTTACAAA